CAGGACGCTCAGTCCAGTCAGAATGTGGAGATTATGTGAGAGTGAGAACGGTTAACGCTATGATTATTAAATAATTAATAAGAATAATGTGGAGTTAGTGGAAAAGAGGTGTGAGGGAAACATAAGTGTAGAAACAAGAACATTTATAAACTACATGGTGAAAATCAGTTAGGTAGGTTAGCTTTATACCAAACATTACTTACTGGGAACAACAAATAGTAGAAATATTGCCAGAAGAAAAGTCGAAGCCTTCAAGAGGAAACTTGACAAGTTTCTTGAGGAGTTACAGGTCAGCCAGGTAGCTCCCACAGGTGACGAATACCCTGACTGATCAGGCAAACGCCAGGGAAGCCCGGCTCCGGGCAGGGCTGTGAAAAAAAATGAATAACATTGGGGAGTGTTGTACATGGTGCTATGGCGGTGTGTCCACTCACAAGATGAGGGGCGCTGCCCAATAAACTCGCCCCTCGGGGCAAAATTTAAATTTAAATACAATCGACCACAGGTATAACCGAACTATTGTCTCTTGGACGACTATAGATCCTATCTACGATGATGACATTAAAATATATACTCAGAAGAATGCTTCCTCCTCTGCCTTCGGTTCACATCACCGCCAACACATATGATGCAGGGAGCGCCACCAAGCCGTATTGAGAGACAGGTGCACTCCTGCAGGTAAATTAAAGGGCTACAGGTATAGCAATTAGCCACACGCCACATTGCTTCACGAGATGCTTGCCTCATTCTCTTTCTCCCCCTCACCACACACACACACACACACACACACACGCGCGCGTGCGCACACTTCACTCTATAGGGGCCGGTGGCTGAGCGGACAGTACACTGGACGCGTGATCATGTGGTCCAGGGTTCCATCCCAGGAGCCGGCGAGAAACGATGGGCAGTTTCTTTCGCCCTATGCCCCTGTTACCTAGCAGTAAATAGGTACCTGGGAGTTAGTCAGCTGTCACGGGCTGCTTCCTGGGGTGTGTGTGTGTGGTGTGGAAAAAAAAAAAAAAAAAAAAAAAAAAAAAAAAGTAGTAGTTAGTGAACAGTTGATTGACAGTTGAGAGGCGGGCCGAAAGAGCAAAAAAGCTCAACCCCCGTAAAAACACAACTAGTAAACACAACTAGTAAACACACACACACACACACACACACACACACACACACACACACACACACACACACACACACACACACAACACACTCTCTCTCTCTCTCTCTCTCTCTCTCTCTCTCTCTCTCTCCGTCTCCTTCCTTAATGCTCTTCCTCCGTCCTGCGGAAGGAGAGATAATGGATGGGTGTGGAGGAAGCTTTATTCACCCGCCCATTCTGATAAATCCACACAATGACTCTTGGCTTCCGCCCGACCTCAGTCCCTCCTATGATTACCCCCAGCCCATCCCCGCTCATCCTTACCCCAGCCCCTCCCCGCTCATCCTTACCCCAGCCCCTCCCCGCTCATCCTTACCCTAGCCATTTCCCGCTCATCCTTACCCCAGCCCCTCCCCGCTCATCCTTACCCCAGCCCCTCCCCGCTCATCCTTACCCCAGCCCGTCCCCGCTCATCCTTACCCCAGCCCCTCCCCGCTCATCCTTACCCCAGCCCCTCCCCGCTCATCTTTACCCCAGCCCCTCCCCGCTCATCTTTACCCCAGCCCCTCCCCGCTCATCTTTACCCCAGCCCCTCCTCGCTCATCCTCACCCTAGCCCCTCCCCGCTCATCCTTACCCTTCTTGCCCATCCTAGCCCCTCCCCGCTCATCCTTACCCTTCTTGCCCATCCTAGCCCCTCCCCGCTCATCCTTACCCTTCTTGCCCATCCTAGCCCCTCCCCGCTCATCCTTACCCTTCTTGCCCATCCTAGCCCCCTCCCGCTCATCCTTACCACAGTCCCTCACCGCCCATCCTTATCCAAAACTGTACAAGCTCATCCCTACCCCTGCTCCCCGTCGTTCGTCACTATCACAGCCCCATCACGCACGCTCATCCTTGCCGCAGTTCCTCCCCGCTCGTTGGCATTTGCCCGGCTCTGTATAACCCTTCCTTCGCTGCCCTGCCTTGCTCATCCTTCCCCCCTCCCTCCCTGCCTGACCCCTTCCGGCCGCGCCCAGCTCCTCATTCCTTCTTCTCGGCTCCACTTGATGCCACTCATCTTACCCCCTTCGCAGTCTTGCCAACCCCCTTCCATCCTTCCCCCTGCTCATTTTATCACCCTCCATCCTTCCCCCTGCTCATTCTATCACCCTCCATCCTTCCCCCTGCTCATTCTATCACCCCATTCCTCCTGATCCCCACCCAGTCGTGCGGAGTCTTTGATGCTACCCACCTTCACCCTACACCGTGTAATGCTAATCAACCAGCACCACTCTCGGTGCATCAGGATCCATCAAGCATTTACGGGTAGACCTCTACGTCTTTCCTCAATCGTGGTGACTTAATTTTGTATTTATTAAACAGATATTGAGTTCTAAATCGCTACGAGGTCAAAAAATGATCCCGCAGCGTTTACTAGCTTGTAAGGCGTTTAATAAATACAGACAGCTTCCATGATCGAGTTAAGATGTACAGGTTTCGAAAGTAAACACCTAAGTGCTTGATGAATCCCTCTTAGCTTCACAGAGTATCAGGTTCCCTTCACTATTGCTGACAGTACACTTCCGGTGAATGTTACCTTACAATTGTTATCCTGGACGTCGATATCTTAACTCACCTGCAACGGTGCTAAACACTATAGGTTAATTAAGTATCATAAAATGACCGAAGTCAAATAACAGAGGTTACTTGAAGATAACTGTGGCATTAAAACTTTGTCGTGTCTATGCCACTGACGGAGGGCTGGTATTGCAAACTAATATGCTATTCTCAGACTACCATAACTCTTTCATAATAATAATAATAATAATATTTATTTAGGTAAAGGTACATACATAAAGAGATTTTACAAAGTTTGTTGGCTTTATTTCCCTTAAAACGCCCGTGAACAACACTGGACTTGAATATTACGATTCATCTCTAGTTATGTATATCAACAACTCTCGGAAACATAACATTGTGTGTTATACAATGCCTCGACAATCACGAAGAAAGGGGACTATCAGGCGAATGTGCCAAGCCATCACGACTATATAGCACACGGAAGGGATCAGAATAAGGATTTGAGATGGGACGGGGGAACGGAATAGTGCCTAACCACTTGGACGGTCGGGAATTGAACGTCGACCTGCATGAAGAGAGACCGTTGCTCTACTGTCAGGCCAAAGTGGTTGGGTACCACCACCACAGAGCATCATCATCACAACCACTACAAATCACCATTATCACCACTACCACAGATCAGCATCACCACCACCAAGCAACAAAACCCCACTACTACAGAGCAGCAGCATCACCACTACAGAGCAACAACACCATCACCACCACCGCAAAGCAATACACCATCACCACTACAGAGCTGCAACAGCACCATCACCACCACAGCAGCAGCATCACCACCACTACAGAGCAGCACCACCACCACAGACCATCAGCAGCACCACCACAGAGCAACAGCATCACCACCACTACAGAGCAGCACCACCACCACAGCACAGCAGAAGCAGTACCACCACAAAGAAGCAACACCGCCAGCACCACACAGTAGCAGCACTGCCACCATCACAGAGCACCACTACAGAACTGCAACAGCAGTAGCACCACCACCACTACTACCCCCCACCAGAGCAGCAGCAGCAGCAGCACCACCACCCCACTGAGCAGCACCACCACCACCACCACCATCACACCATCAGCACCACTTTCACACACAAACAGCAGCAGCACCACCACCTTCACTGAGCAGCAGCACCACCAGCACACACCATCAACACTGCCTCCACACATTAGCACCACCACCACCACCCTCACACACAATGCCATCTCCCCATTGCATCACTACAACTGCCGCACATCATCACCACACATCATCATTACCACATAATTCCACTACTACACTCACATCGACACAACCACAAACATCACAAGTCCTCCACCCATACCACCCTTCCTGTGCAACCATCTTTCGTTTTCCCTCATTCTTACCCTCCATTCCATTCTTCCTCCAACCCCACAAGTCTGAGCATTAGGTCAGCCTGTAATCATTACACCAGCCTGTACTACCTCATAGAACACCCTGTACTCATTGCACCAGCCAATATTCATTACACTAGCCTGTACCTAGTACAGTACACCAACTTGTACCTCATACAATAGCATGCACCTCATTACTTCAGCCTGCACCACATACAACAGCTTGAACCCTTTGCATAAGCCTGTACACATTACACCAGTCTGTACCCACTACACCAACCTGTACCTGTACTCATCACACCATCTTGTACCTCACACATCAGCCTGTGCCTCATACAACAGCCTGTGCCTCATACAATAGCCTGTACCTGTTACACTAGCACATACCTCATACAGCAGCCTGTACTTATTACACCACCCTGTACCTCTTACAACAGCCTGTACTCATTACACCAGCCTGTACCTCATACAACAGACTGTACCTCATATACCAGCATGTCCCTCATACAACAGCCTGAGTTCAGTACACATTGAACCAACCTGTGGTCACTACACGTCTGGCCTCATTATGCCACTGTTCAAACGATAAGATATGCTGTTTTGAGTCAGAATACCATTTTTGATTGCCCTCATGCTTTTGAGCAAGAGCCTATCTAGTTTCAGTTAGGTTGTAACTGATTCTTCAAGTTTCATTTGTTAAGATTTAAAGATCTTACAGAAATTCTTAGATTTAAACAAAATAATGTTGCAGTGTACAAATTTTTTGTAACTAGCTTCTGAATATATTTTGCCTGTACAGTAACAAGACGGAATTTTAAAATTACAAATGGTTTACATGATGAAGTACTGAAGGGTCTCAAGCTCTTCTACATGTATCTTCTGTTCCTGCTGTTAAGTATATCATGTTAAAGCGGTTTATCTTACAGGAGTAACTGCTCTCCCGGTGTGAGTACCATCCTACGACAGCTTGCACCACGACCTGCATTCCTGCCTTTACACTCCGAGTCATCAGCCCTTGACTGGATCTTCATGGGCAGTGAGGGACCTGGTGCTGCCTGGCATGTAAGTCTCTGTCCTAGCTAACTCTCTCTATGCTCACACTTTCTTATCTGGCTATGATTTCAGTTTTTAACACACCTAACTGAGATGAAGATTTATTTACATTTACAGTACCTACTCCATTTTGCATGCTAATAATTTTGTTCTTTACATCTGAAGAATTCTTTAATGAAATATTAATGGAGTGCAATAGATAATACAAATATAAGTACATGTACAGTAATACTACTTTTTTAAATAAAAATTTTCAAAATTTGTATTAATATATTTATGTATTAGTTGAAATGTGCTTTATATAGAACTGTGTAGTAAAAATGTGATAAAATCTATTTATTTGTAGCTGGATTATGTACAAAGACCCTCTTGGCAAGCTCAGATCAGTGGCACTAAGACATGGCACTTCAGACCTGTCCCAGAGTGTCAGCAGGTCTGCCAACCATTCAATGTTACTGTCAATAAGGGAGATATAAGTAAGTATTTCATTAGAGAGAAGTGGTATTACAAAAAAAAATCAAAACATATACAGTATTAGAAGATTTCAGAGCAGTATCACTTTGTTGCTTCTCTTGGGAAAGGTTCTACTGTTTTCAAATTTACAGTCAGGGCAGGTTGAAATTCCACATCACAGCAACAGGAATCATTTCAAATGTCCCTGTTCGGCCATACTTGTGAATGGATAACGCTGGAGGAAGCTCAGTCCAACCTTGAGTGATTTCAAGAAGGATTATTCAGCATCACTCAAGTCTTTTCAAATACTACTTGGCATCAAAGAGTCTGCCAAGAAGTGCTTGGCGACATATAACCACATTACATTTGGTTCATTCTTTGATGGATGGCCACCTGGAAGCTTCACTTCTGGATTTTTCTTTTCTGGGTTGTTCTGTTGGTAGTGGTGAACTGCCATGTATTGCTGGTGTTAAAAGTTAAAAGTAGGAAAAGTTAGGGTTCTTCCTTTATCTTCTCTTTTTCTGCCCATAGCTGGTCCTGTTCATCCTTTTGGGTTCGCTTTTGTTCAGGGTCTCAATTCCTTCCGCCTGAGCTGTCTTTTCTGCTATCAGGCTGGCCTTACTCCTTGTGGGACTTGATCGTGTTGGCAGGGTGTTTCTCCAGCACTTTGCTTGTTAGGAGTGGTGGCATTCCCTGCATTCTGCTTAGGATGGTCATGTGGGTGCACTATTTCTGTTGAGCCTGTGTCCCTGGTTCATTGTCTAAGTGGTCGGTTTTCCTGCTGGCTTGCTGGGTAGTTTTATATACCTTTCCTGCTCTTTGAAGACCTGTTCTGTCTGCTGCTAGTGGTCTTGTCCACTTTTTGACTTCTGCACAGCTGTTCAGATTCGTGTCTTCCGGTTCTGTTCCCCTTCTACCACAGTCCGCAGTCCGTACTGTTATTATTTTCCTTTCAATCATGATGTAGCAGAGGGAACCCACCAGAAAAAGACATTTCATTGCATCTAATGCTGGATTACTATTTTTTTTTTTTTTTGGTTACTAGCTATCCTCACCCATTTTGTCTTTTAGGTTGAACTGTAACACTGTATAGAATTGTGAATGTTTATATGTTGTAACACTGAAAAAGGAAGAGAGAGAGTGAGGCCAACAGAGGGGGGAAGGAGGAATGCTGGAAGAGAGGGGAGGGTAGAGGTGAGAGGTGGGGAGATTGGGACATAGGGAATGAGGGGGAGTAGGGGTAAGAGGGAAAGAGTGAGGTAGGGGTGGTTGAGATAGACAGACAGATGGACCCAGGCACTACCAGTTACTCTTCTAGTTATTCTATATAATAATTGTATAAGTCTAGTGTGTAAATGGTAATCTATATTGATGATGTGCAAATTTTGAGTTTTGTCCAGTGTTCAAATTCTTTAGTTACTGAGTGCAAGGAAGGACTAGAGTGGATTTGACAGATTTGATTTTCCTGTGGTTCCTTTAATAAGACTTGTAACAATATACGCTAGTAATTAAACGGTCTATGAGTAATTATTAAGATATTATACTTATTTGTCGTTTTAGTCATTTCATTTGTTATTTATTTATTCAGTTATTATGTGTTTGTCATTCAATCACTTTCCACACATTTTATTATTTGTAAATTCTTTCACTTACTTCATTTAATTACCCCTATCTCTTCCCGCCCTGTTATAAGACAAATTTAGGTTCGGGTATGTGTGCTGTGTCGATCAAGCTTCTTCTTGGTATTGTAGTCTGAAACAGAGTTCTTGGGACCTAGTTAGACATGGTAGCACAATATGGAGATTGTCATAATTCTACATGGTGCAGTTTTACAGCCTGTCAAATGGAATTTTTTACCATGAAGATTATCCCTTCTGCCTTCGTTACTCCTGCTGCTAGGTGCAGGGATAGTTTCTACCTATAGGTATTTGCTAGGACTGCTTCACTGTATGCTTCATAGGTGATCCTTTTCAGGCAGATTATGAAATGGGTAGAGTCAGGGTATGTTCTTCACATATAGGTGCTGCCATCTGGTAGTGTTTCAGGATAGTAGCTGGCTGTGACAACTAATAGTTACCAAAAACACTCCTTAATGGTCTCTTTCATGTCAAGTACCACTTGGAATCCCATTTAATGTTGTACTGCAATTGAGTTAGCATTTTCACAGTTATCTGGCTTGAATTGAGTATTCTCAGGTTTGACATTACAGGGACATTTGTAAAGATGACTGTTGCACCGGTGTGGAATATTGACGAGCCCTGACTGTGCACTGTCCTGTTCATGAGATCTGTAGCACCTTGCCTAATGGAGCAACTCAGGGCCTTGCTCAGAAAAAACTCAATTGATAACAGTGATAAAATTGACTATCTTGAAATATATTTGTAATTTATTCTGTGTGTATCCAGAATCATTCGGTATACATGATATGGTACATATAGAAACAAAGCTCAGCTAATTCTCTTTAATTAACTTAAAAATGTATTTAAAAATAAAGAATACTAATTTCAAACTTTTAATTCAAATTTTTACTTTCAGTTTTTGTCGACACAAACCAGTGGTACCACATGACCTACATCCATGAAGGTGAACTTTCTATAACTATTGGTTCTGAATATGACTAAGCATCAACCAATGTTGAACTGGGTGTAACTTGTCAAAAATGATTATAGTACTTGCTTTAAGTTAAACCAGTGTTTCATTTGAATTAGCTTCAGTTGCATCAGATCTCTATTAGACATGAGCATCAAGTATGACGTAACAATATTTTATAATTATATTTATGACTGTATTAATGTTTAATGTTTTCATCTTATAACCATCTGAGAGCACAAAATTCACAAATGATCAAACAAGCTCCGTAAGAAATCAGTTTCACAAAGCTTCTGTGAACAATAGATTACACTGAATTGTTGAGCAGTGGGTAGTTGTTCTGGATTTGTAGTAAAAGCAATCACTGCCATCCCATATTTTACAGTACAGTAAATTGAAGTTAATACGCCATGGAAGCCCGCATTGTGCTCACCGAAAAGCTTGTTCTCTCTGCCAAAGGAATCAGTGGTATGCAGACCATTTTAATAGGGCATTGTCACATAGATGGTATTGACAAAAAAGTCTCAAACTATTGTTCCTGTAGGACATTTTATGTGATACAGTATTACAAGCCCTAACACAAATGCAGGTACACATTTACAAACACAAATCAAAGCCAAAAATTCCTCAGTATGTTATACTTTAGTTACAATGTGTGTGATTATACAAGATATTTTTCATGCATATTACAGCTATACAGATTGTGAAAGATTATTGTGATCACAGATTCTGTAACATATTTAACTTTTATTTGCCTGATAATGTTTCATGTTTGTCCATTGCACAGTTTATAGTCTTCATTTAAATATATTATATACAGTATTGAGTTTTTCAGCTTGTCACATAAAGGAAGCTGGCAGTTTAATATTTATTTGTCTCTGTATCCAGTAGATCATTGCTGATGTCAGTCTCTTAAAGTAAAGTCTGTACAGATTTCCCTAGTCCTGATTTAGATAAAATGTACAAGCTGGATTTTCTGTAAAGTGTGTAGAGCACATGCAACATTTCCAGGTCTTAGAAACAGGGAGGAGAATTGTCTAAGCTAGAGTACAATTTGTAAAACTCTCCAGATCCTTTATCACACACCTGCATGAAGTACTACACTGTATGTATGTTGAAAGAAAACTTATATAGTATACTGTTGACACAATTTCTTAATTTTAACTATGTATTAATACTCTACTCATTATTGTCATTTTCATTCATACATATAAAGGTATTTATAGGTTGAGGATGTGGGTGATACTCGTGTTATGATGATACACAAAGAGTTTATGAATTCTTTTAAAATTAGAATTGTGTATATAAAATGTTTTGTGATTTAACTTGAAAATAGTAAAGAAGGGAAGAAGGTAATCTAGTCATTGAGGTCAGTGTTATCACTAGTAAAGTAGTCAAATGTTTTCAAGTCACAGTATAACAGAGGTTAAAAGTGGAGGGAAACCTCTGTACATTATTTGGACCACTAAAGCCTGAGTACAAGTATTAGTGTAAGAACAGTACCGAGTTCAGAGGGGCTTAGTCGTCCTGGCATATATAAAATTGGTTGCAAATAGTCAAATTACTTTAGACTAAGTAATCTCTCTGGTCTGGTTAATAACCAGACCAGATATTACCATATTTTTCTCAGACTTGTCTCCTTTGTTGTTAAAATGATGTAAGTAAAACTGATAACTTTGTAATATTTTTATTGTGCCAGAGTTGCATTGTTTAGAGAATTTGGCATTTCACTTGAGTAAAGGAGTTGCTCTGCTGATATAAATCATTAACCAGTGCTAGTCAGGATTTTCTGTTATCTCAGAAATGAGTTCTCTCAAGTTGTTTAATTTGAAAGACATCAATAGACACACAGGACTTCTGGCTATATACAAATTATTATTATTATTATTATTATTATTATTATTATTATTATTATTATTATTATTATTATTATAATCATTAGAATTTGAACTGGCTTGCCCCTTCTAATTCAAGAGGAAAACATGTTAATCATTGGGAATGGATGAACTTTTTAATTGTTGCATAAAACCAAATACTGTAGGTCAGTCTCCAAAGGGTATCATCCTAAGGCACACATGTATGGTACTGGATATTCTTTTTGGCAAAAATATTTGGATTTGATGGGCATATATTTGCACAATTGTTGTATAGCTTGTTATTCCTCTAATGGTTGTGTCCACAATGATCAACCAAGTACTAAATAGACATTGTTTTATATGCAGTAGCTGTTCGTTATTCTTGTATAGATCTTTGATGGGCCTTCACTGAATAATATTTTTTTAATATATCTACATATAGTGTACTATAAAATCTTCAGATGTTGGATTTTGTTATATAAATGCTTTATATAATAGAATAAATATATACAAAATTATATTCAGCCATTCTATATTGTTAGTGTTTAATAGTAATTTTGTATTTTGTTTTATCATAAGTATAGAAGTTGTATTAACAACCAGTAATGTTGATGCAAGAATTTCTTCAAATTATTGGTAGTCATCTGTTACATTACAAAGTACTGTACTCTAATGCCACCAAGGAAAAAATGGTAAATACTTAAATATTTTTGCCCTTTTCACATATTTCTCAACTCTATCTCACACTGAGTTAATGATTTAGAGAAGTGCCACACCATAAACAGTAGTAAGACAAACTATAGTAACTATATATATCTAAATGGCATTATGAAAGTCTAGATTGCAGTATTTTGTTTAACATAAGTAGTAAAATGAATTCACTTACACTAAAACACAGCAAAAACATACCTGACAGATATTGCGTGCCAACTGATACCTGTAGCTAAATAAACAGATACAGTGCATGTCAGAAGTTGCATAGCAACCTTTATTTCTAAAATTACCTCTGCTGTACTGTATATTCATGATGAAATAATATTTTTATCTTTGTTCATAATATCTTGGCACTCCCTCATTCTTCTCACTGATTTATTTCATTATATTTTGCATCCTGGAGATTTAATTGCATGATTTAATTGCAATACCTGGTCCAGGATCTCTATGCCCTCAGTATTATCATCAGGAAAGAGGTCATCATAAAGTACTGATTATTTCCATACAAAATACACTTTTCATGCAATATTTTCTTTGCTCTCTTACAACATGATTGGGCCATTATTTTTTAGGTTCAATTTAAGTGACAGTATTTAGATATTACAAAATATTGCTCTTTGCCAATTACTTTATTGCAAATGCCTCTCAAACATAATACTGTATTGTATACTTATGCTGACATTTATGAGCACATTCTCCTTTAGTATTTCTTACCCTTCTAGTAACTTAGCCAATACTTAGTTTATTTGTATTTTCACCAGTAAACTGCACAGTGTAAAGTTCTGGCATTAATCATATTGTTTTTATATGGTGAGGAGGCATCAACCCAGAGAAAAATGGGAGCAGTATAGGAAAGAACCAGCACCACTATACTTCAGTAAATCATCCAATACAACACCCCACCACTTTGAAGACTAAGTGTATGGTGCTCCTTGTAAGTTACTCCCATTTCAGAAACTGCTGCCTCCTAGCCTTGCTTGCTATGACATCCAATGTGCTGTTTACATTTAATCCCCATTTACTCAAAGTGGTGGCTCATCTCTGCTTTTTTTCTTTCTCCTACCCTCAAGTCCACTTCAATACATTCTCTTCAACCAGTTTATCATTCACTTGTTCAGTATAATCAAATTATCTCAGAACTCATTTCAATCTTGGAATTTACTGACTTGAACTGAACATCTTTCCATTACATTTTAATTCCTTTCTCTATCAATTTTCTTTACATGTGCTTTTCAGATACACTGTAGTTAATTTCTACATTTTTTATGTCTAGGTTTTCTACGTTCATGCCACACTAGCATCTCGTAACCTAACTTGTATTCAAAGTATGTAGGCAAGAAATACTAGACAGTTTTGTGAATCCGCAATTGTGTAGGATAAAAACCAATCAACAATGAAAGAATTTGTGGTTCAGCATATCTGACCTTCAAAGAATTAAAGTACATGTACAATATTTTTCAATCTTGAGAACTTCCTTGCTTTGAAAGTTTATCCTTGTGAAGAATCTTCCTTGGCAGACATAAGTATTTCACATATTAAGTGTATACAGTACTACTATTACAACTGTATTAATACTGTACTAGGGATTATTTAGTACTTTTTAGATTTCTGCACATTCTTTTTAAAGTTTGGACATGCCTAGTGTGTGGGGTACAATGCATCCACCCTTTTAACAATAAACTGTAGCTTCAAAACAGTTCTTCCAGCTTGTGTTAATAACTTTATTTCATATACAGTACTGTACAGGTAAAACATTTACAAAACAGGTAAATTTGTTTTGTTATTAAATATTGGAGTGCTAGTTTATAAGTAAGTGTTACCAAACATACTGTACAGTATATGTTGTAGTTGCTGAAATTCTAAATTCTGTTCTTCCAAACATAATTATAAGCTGTTACAAACTGTGCCTTCCTATTTATATATATTTTTATAATTGGAATAAATGTATTAAGCAAAAACATGTATTATTATATCCTACATTATGTTATACCAATATATATAATTTTGCACAAAGTGTTTTAGGCACGTTAAATTATAAATCTAATGTTGTGGTTGAAGCTGTACACAAGCCTTGAAATATTGTACTACAAGTAATGCATGAAGCCATAATTTTCCTGCCATTATGATTATTAGTGAATCTTTCTACCAATTAATACTCAACATTTTGGTCATATGGCTGTATAACAAGTCTGAACCGAATTTATCCACTATTTATTAGTTCCAGTAAGCAGAATATTCAATTTTACTGAAGAGATTAGACTTCTAGCTCTAGTTCTGACACTACTGTTTAAGTTCTTATACCATTGTATAACAATAAATACTGTAGTAATAGTAACTATATTCTAGTATAGTTTTCTAATGACCTGGCTGTTGTGGTGCTAGGGACGTCATATTCGCAATCAACTGAATTAATCACCTGGATATCTTTTATATGAAATTGCAGTACAGTACTGTATTATCTTTCACTGACATAACAGAGCTCACTGTGGTGCCATGGTCAGCATGTGACTGTGGCCAAACATGAAACTTATTGTCATCTTACCCTTGTAGCCATACATGTTAATCTTTTCTAGGCTCAATGAACGACTGGGGATTGAATTTAATACAAAATTTTATTATAATAAATTATAATGTGTAAATTATAAATTAACAACAATAAGAGATAGAAGATATATAATTTATATATTTGTGTAACCAGTGACCATGTGTAAATACATAGTTATAATGATAATGTAAAACTATCGAGGGTAGACTTATAAAGGGTCACTATAACTGGGAATAGAATAATAGTACAAAATAAAACGTTGAATGTAATGAAACGCCTCACTGGGCGAGTCCCAGTGGCTCCCTAAAGTTATCCTCCCGAAATGGCTCCCAACTTCTAGGTCACATTAGCCTACATACATGTTTTGCCTATGGAGACTTCATATCTTAAGAAATACAAATCTGCTTTGCAGAAAGTGCAACATCGGGCAACAAAAATTCATTCCTGAAGAAAGTCTACTTTCATACCAGGAACGGTTGAGGGCCACAGGCCTAACACTGCAAACCAGACATGACAAGGCTCATCTCATCAAAACTTTAAAAAATATTGAATTTTTTAGAGAATATTGATTTAAACCACTTCAAAAGGTTAAATGCAATACAAACAAGGAGCAATGGTTTGAAGCTCAACAAGTCACAATGTAGGACAGAAAACAGGAGATGTTTTTAACACACCCATGGAACCGCCTACCCGCCGAAGCCGTGCATGCCAAAAACTCTTCAATTCTAAAATCCAGGGCAAATGGGGACACCTTTGACAAGCCACCGGCTTCCTGTTCTCGTTGAGGCCACTAGTGTTAGTAGCTCTCAGGTAAATACTGTTTAATTCCTAATACAGAACATGGTACTCACCTAGTTGTGCTTGCGGGGGTTGAGCTCTGGCTCTTTGGTCCCGCCTCTCAACCGTCAATCAACTCGATTCCTGAGCCTACTGGGCTCTATCAAATCGACATCTGAAACTGTGTATGGAGTCAGCCTCCACCACATCACTGCCTAATGCATTCCATTTGTTAACTACTCTGACACTGAACAATTTATTTCTAAATGTCTCTGTGGCTCATTTGGGTACTAAGTTTCCACGGTATTAGCTCTGTTGTGTTCCTAAGCTTCTTTAATAATAATAATAATAATAATAATAATAATAATAATAATAATTAATAATAACAATAATAATAATAATAATTAATAATAACAATAATAAGTAATAATGATAATAAATAATGAAGATAATGACAATAATAAAAACGCTCGTCGCCCCCAAACTGTTGGAGTAGGGTTACCGGCAGATTTGGCTACAAGTAGCGAATTGGGCTACTTTTGAGAGCCCCGCGCTCCCAAATTTTTAATTTCGCTACTTGCTACTTTTTGGGCTAATTTAAAAGCAAGTTGGGCTAATTTGGGCCATTAATGTTAACCAACTCAATGATGATTATTTATGGTCAGATGGAACACAAACAAGCACCCCGCGATAGCAGCCACAAACTGACAATGCGAGCACAGCAAGCAGTATATCCTTTTACGACCAAAGATCACATTCACTCCAAAAAAAATCTTCCACTTACGGGCTATTCATGCCCGTGCCACCTCTTGGGTAGCTTACTCTTCATCAATCAATCACAAACAAGGAAGAACGATTTCAAGTTCAACAAGCCACAACTTAGGACAGAAAAAAGGATTTTTTTTTTCACCCACGTGGGGCATAAAAATGCACAACTACCAAATTATCAACATTATCTTGGAGTCAGAATCCACCAATCACTGATAGTTGTACAGCAAGTGGAAGCTGCAGTTATAAAAGCAAACCAAATCCTTTGGAATTATTACGGGCTCACCATAGCCCTTGCTACATGGACACTTCGTCCTGAGTAGCTAAATCTTTAACAACAACAGCAACTTTGGAATAGTCAAACGAAATTTTGACGAAGGAAAAGGTAGTTATACAACTGTATAAATCTCTGGTGTGCTTCCACTTGATTATTATATCCACGCATTGAGACCTCATCTTCATAAAGACATATCTGCTTTGGAGAAAGCTCAACACCGGGCGACTAAAATCTTTTCCGAACTAAGTCGACTTTCATACCGGGGACGGTTGAGGGCCACAGGGACCAGACATGACAGGGCTGCTCTCAGCAAAACTTTTAAATTACTGAACAATTTGGAAGATATTGACCCAGAACACTTCTTCAAAAGGCTAGATGTAAGACGAACAAGGAGCAACGGTTTCGAGCTCAACAAGCCACACTGAAGGATGGAAAATATTTGTTTTCTCCTATAGAATTATACAGTTGTGGAAACGCATACCCGCCGAAGCCGTAAATGCCAAAACAGTGGCATTTGTTTGGCCCCAAAACAAATGGGAGGGGCCTTCGACAAGCCAGACAACCTTCCTGTCCTCGTCGAGACCACTAGAGAGAGATACCTAAATTTGCCCGAGGGCCACCCTCGAGTAAATTCAGCAAAACCATGGAACCACCTTCCCGACGAAGCCGTAAATGATAAAACATTGCTCGATAAAATCACCAGGGCAAATAGGGGACATTTGACAAGCCGCCGGCTTCCTATCCTCACTGAGAGATAGTGACCCTCTGGTAAATTCAGGTAATTCTTAGCTAATTAAATAATCCTGAAAAGTTTGCATATTGAAGGCAGTGCTGTATTAGCAGCATTATACTCTCTGAGCAAAGCAATGCACTGTTGCCCTCCAACCCAGATGATGGGCACTGGGACCCATGCTTGTGGACCTATACTTACAACCAAGGGGTTCCAAGGGGTTGTCATAGCCAGGGGGTGGTAATGGGGGACGAGCTCCCATGACCTATAAAATGCTCCTATACGGCATGCGTCTCCAATAATAGCCTCTGACAACCAAGTCCAACTCCTGGCCTGCACGGGTGCCTTAGTCTTTAAGTCCGACGGAACTGCTTTTACCGACAGGAGAAGGGGCGAGGGCGTGCCTCTGGCGCCTTAAAACCAGCTGCTCCGGGTAGATGGGACTCGATAGCCTGGGAAGGCAGCCCATCTAGGGGAAGGAAAACCCTGGTTTCAAACCTCCGCTGCCTTGCGGCCATACCCCTTTTTTGGGAAAGGCTTCAGGAGTCAACCTCGAGGAAAAATCCGGAGTTGGAGCCCCTAAGGCAGTTCGTTGTTGACGTCGACCTCGTTCTGGCAGCTCCTGCGACGTTGCTGGAACCATGCGTATTGGCATTTGCCTTTCTATTGGATAATTTCAGCAACGTGGAGAGGGGGGACCTGCTGCATGGGTAACAGCTTCTCCACATCTACCTACCCAGGCTTTGCGCCCTGTCAGGGCGCAACTCCATAGTCTTCCGAGACTGATGGATGCCTACTACTACAACCACGTTCTCGTCTGTCGACCCTCCCAACTTTGATACGGCTCTCAGTGTGCTTGGTAGAGTTAGGAAGGTGTTTGTCTGGTTAGGTGAGGTGTTTGTTGACCAGACCACACACTAGAAATTGAAAGGACGACGACGTTTCGGTCCGTCCTGGACCATTCTCAAGTCAATTGTGCATTCTCACAATCGACTTGAGAATGGTCCATTTTCGGTCGTCGTCCCTTCACTTTCTAGTGTGTGATTTAGTCAACATATTTCAGCCACGTTATTGAGACTCCTCGTCTGCAGGTGTTTGTTGCTAGGTCTGTAGGTACACAACTGGTCGGGTTCTGGTTACACTCGGACACGAGAAGATTCGGCTAAACTTATTTTCTGTTTTAAATCCGGATATATTGTTATGCTAGGCTGTATTAGGTTATGTTATTAAGGTTAGGCTGCAATGGGTTCGGTTGGATTAGATTGGTTTGATTTGGGTTACGTTAGAATCCTTAACTGTTCACCCAGCTGAGAATAGGTTGTTAAACGATTTGGCGGGTTTTCCTCCGGGGGGAAAATTAGGATTAAGGACCTACCCGAAACGCTATGCGTGCTAGTGGCTTTACAAGAATTTAAAAACTCTTTTTTATATATAAATAAAAATAAATAAATAAAAATCTGCCGACGAATATTTTTGTGTGCGATGAGACTTGTATCTGGCATAATTAAAATCTTAACTTAAATAATTCGTTTGTTAGACAATATATGATATTCAGATCTATAAATTACTTTAGAAAGGCCTATAATGTATATAAACATTAATTTACACATTCCTGGCGCTATACGCTAGAAATTTCAATATGGCGTTCAAATAATTTTAGGCAGGGGGTCTCTGGGTCGGTTGGTCGCTTACGGGTCATCGACCCCGTCAGTCGTCAAGAAGCAGCGGTGGCGTGCGGTGCGTCGTTCCCATGTAGGTAAGACTGATTTTTTTTTTCAAATATATCTGAGCAGTTGGGAGGTAGTATGTATATATAGTCTACCTCCACCTACAATACTTAATGCATTATACATTTGTTCAC